GATAGATAGATAGATAGATAGATAGATAGATAGATAGATAGATAGGTAGATAGATAGATAGATAGATAGATAGATCTTTTCTAGACTTATGTTGTACAGACCATGGCACTAAGGCCTTTTCATTTGGAATTAATATTAGTTCTAGCTGAATGAGCCCCAAATTTATGTTGCCAGTTATTAAGTGAATTCCCCCCCTGCCCCCACATTTTACAAACTCTTGCAACAATTGTTAAGTAAATCACTGCCATTCAGTTAGTAGCATGGTTGTTAATTGAATATGGCTTCCCCATTGAGAAGGGTTTGTCAGAAGGTTGGAAAAAGTGATCACATGACCCCGGGACACTGCAACAGTCGTAAGTACATGCCGGTTGCCAAGCATCTAAATTTTGATCAGGTGACCTTGGGGATGCTGCAACAGTCATAAGTGTGAAATATGGCCACAGGTCACTTTTTTTAGTGCTGTCATAATGTTAAATAATCACTAAATAAGCTGTTGTAAGTTGAGGACTACCTGTATACCAGTGGTGGGTTCCGGGCGATACGGCCCGGTACGGGTGTACCGTTAGTAGCTGGGAGCAGCTTGTTGGCCCACCCACCCACCCGCCCATGTTCTATGGCTGTTTATAATGTGACCGGCCAACTGCGCACGCGCGCCGCACACAGCGTGCGGCGCCTGCGTGACCACTACCGAGCAGTTGGGTGTTGCAGGATGGTGGAATGCGCATGCTTGTGCAGCGCACATGTCCAACCAGGACGCCCAGCCCCGCGCGCAGCATACTGGTTGCGACAGGATCCAGAAGTGGAGTTCTTGCCTCACAATCAGGAGACTGTGAGTTCGATCCTAGGTAGAAGCAGATATTTCTCTCTCGGTACACTGAGAATATATCTACTGGACAAAACTCCGCATTGGCAACAGGAAAGGCATCTGGCCAGTAAACACTCAGTTCCATTCAGTTGCCCAGACTCCACCCTATAAGGGATTATGGGGTTGTTAAAAGATGATGACAGTTAAAGTAGTTATTCTGAACATGCCTTCAGTTAACAATAAACCATTTATAGGATGGAAAACTAATCTCAGCTGTCTTCCCTTGGTTTCTAAATTTAGTTTCTGCCAAGCCAGGTAAAAGACACAAATATTACCTAAAGAGGCAAGAACAGCAGCAAACCAGAATATGTCCGCGATCAATGGAGGAATAAAAAGTAGACAGCCCATCACATTCCCATACATCTCTTGGATTGGATCCATCAGAGTCACGTAATTTCTCCTTCTCATTGGATTGACAAAGAAGAACCCTCCTGTTTGTTTAAAAAGAAGTTGGTTACAATCAGTTATCTTTATGAAACAAAAGGCATCATAGTGTTTCGCAGTTCAGGTAAAGGTAAATGTTTCCTCTGTCAGGGTGTGTACGACTCCATTTCCTAGCTGAGGTAGCCAGCGTTGTCCCAAGACATTTCTGTGGTCATGTGACTGGCATGACTATACGCCAAGGCGCACGGAACACAGTTACCTTCCCACCAAAGTGGTACCTATTTATCTACTTGCATTTGCATGCTTTCAAACTGATAGGTTGGCAGGAGCTGAGGTAAGGATGGGAGCTCACCAGTGCTGGGTTACAACTGGTACGGCTCGGTACTGGTACGGTACGCTGCTCTGTAGGGCCCGCCCGCCCGCGCTCCTTACCTGATGAGGTTTCCTAGTTCGGGTAATGAAATGTCCACAAGAAAACAACCAAGCTCAGAGAGCACTGAAGACCCGCATTTCAACCCTGAGATACAAATATTCTCCTTTACTGATAACTAAAGAGATATTCTATCATTCTGAGCGAAGGGTGCAAGCCACTCATGTACTTCCCAACCAATTTTGTTTCCGGATCATTGACAAATGCACAAACCGGAGTAGATCACTTGAGGTAAAATTAAACATTAAACAAAAATTAAGAATTAAACAAAATTAAACATGTTTAAAATTAAACACGGAGAGATATTTAAGTATTTTCAATAGAACAGAAGAACAGAGTTGGAAGGGACCCTGTAGGTCATCTAGTCCAAGGAAGAGACCCTAAGGGATTTCTGTCAGATAGCAGTCCATTCACTTTTTGAAAGCCTCCTGTGATGAAGCTCCCACAACTTCTGAAGGCAACTTCTGTTCCATTGGTTGATTGTTCTCACTGTCAGAAAATTTATCCTTATTTTAGGTGATTGACCAGTTGATCAATCCTTGATCAGTTTCCATCCATTATTCCTTCTCTGACCTTCAGGTGCTTTGGAAAATAGATTGACCCCTTCCTCTCTGTGGCAGCCCCTCAAATATTGGAAGACTGATATCATATCTCCCCTCGTCCTTCTCTTCACTATACTAGCCATTCCCAGTTCCTGCATCTGTTCAGTGTATGTTTTAGCCTCCAGTCCCCGAATCATCTTGGTTGCTCTTCTCTGCACTCTTTCTAGAGTCTCAACATCATTTTTATAAAGTGGTGACCAAAATTGGATGCAGTAGTCTTGTTGTAGTCTTACTAGGGTATTATAGAATGGTATTAGTACCTCACTTACTGTATTTTTCGGAGTATAAGACGCAGCAAGGTTTTGAAGAGGAAAATTTCTTTAAAAAGTTGTTGCACTCTGCAAAGCTCCCAAAAACGGCCCTTTTTTTTTCAAAAAAAGGGCATGAATAGGAGGCTTGTAGAGGGGGTGGGGGCCCCAAAACAAGCAAAAAAAGGCCCGTTTTTCATGAAAACGGGCCCTTTTTTTTTTCAAAAAGCCTTTAGGGAGCTTATAGAGTGCTGCTGGGGTCTCGAGAGGCAAAAAAACGGGCCATTTTTCGCTCATTTCTGCCCTCCCCAGCCCCCAGGAGCACTCTGAAAGCCTCCTAAAGGCTATGCACGGCCACTTTGGTGAAGGGGGTGGAGTTTCAGGAAGCAAAAAAATGCTGTATTCAATGTATAAGATGCACCCAGATTTTCAGCCTCTTTTTTGAGGGGAAAAGGTGCGTGTTATACTCCAAAAAATACGGTAATTTTGATTCTAGTGCAGTGTTTCTTAACCTTGGTGACTTTAAGTCCTGTGAACTTCAACTCCCAGGGCTGGGGGATTCTGGGAGTTGAAGTCCACAGAACTTAAAGTCACCAAGGTTGAGAAACACTGTTCTAGTGTCTATTCATTTGTGTCCCCCCCCCCTCACCACGGTTAGTTTTAGAATCTTTTAAAATCTTTACCAACAAGGAGAGACAAAGCAAAGCCAACTGGAGCCTGAACCCACACTAGTCCTCTGGAAGGGTGGTAGACAATTTCAGCCGTGCCGTTGATGTAGGCTCCTCCAACCCATGTCGCTGAAAGGCAACGAGGAAAGGGAAAACGAAGTTAATAAAAGATGCATTGGATAAATTCAGGCAGTCCTTGACTTACGGCCAAATTCCCAAAGTTTTGTTGACAGCTGTTAGGTGAATTTCACCCCATTTTTACAACAATTCCTGCCACAGTTGCTAAGTGAATCACTGCCGTTATTAAGTTGGGATGTTCTTAGTCAGCTGGGGAGGATCATCCAAACTTTGACTAAACCTAAGTTTGGCACACCAGCCTTGCATTCGCTGTAAGAGAATAACAGAATAACAGAGTTGGAAGGGACCTTGGAGGTCTTCCAGTCCAACCCTCTGCTCAAGCAGGAGACCCTATAACATTCCAGACAGATGGTTNAATGCGGAGCTTTGTTCAGCAGATGTACTCTCATTGTACCCAGAGAGAGAAACATCCCACTCTCCCTAGCATTGAACTCACAGCCTCCTGATTGTGAGGCGAGAGCTCCACCTCTAGGCCACCGCATCACTCAAAAAGATAAAAAAAAAACTAATGCAAACTATGAAAAGTATTTTTAGCTTCCTCAAGGCTAGCTCTATATTCCTTTATATATGATATTCAGGGGTGGGCTTAAAATTTTTTAGCAACAGGTTCTTGGCCCGGTTGCTGGCTGGCCATTGTGGGCGTGGCAATGGTAGGCGTGACCTAGTCACATTGGAGGGTTTTTTTTGCCCTCCCCGGACTCCGGAGGTTTTCTTCAAGCCTCCGGGAGGGCAAAAACGTCCTCCCCTGGGCTCCAGAAGCCCTCAGGAGGCCAGAAATGGGCCTGTTTCTGGTCTTCCAGAATTTCCAGGGACACCCGTTTTTTGCCCTCCCCGAGCCTCTGCACAGGCCCTGAACTTACCTGGCATCCCAAATGGACCACATGGGTCTCCTGGGAGAGGCGGGGTGGGAGGGATGGGGCAGGGTGGGCGGGGCGAGCCAAGAGTGGGATTTGCAGGTTCTCTGAACTGGGCAGATTCTTAGCTAGAGATTCTCCCGAACCCGTGCAAACCCACACCAGCCCACTCCTGGTGATACTGGTTTGTGTTAATAAATATTTTTATACCAGGACTCTTGAACCAGTGGTGGGTTCCGGATCCCGTTGCAACCGGTACGGTGCAATGGGGCTGGACGTCCACCACATGCACGCGTCCATGCCTACTTACCGCCCACAATGCTCCATGATGCTCCAGCTGCTCGGCGGAGCGTCGCACAGGAGCCATACACTCCGTGCACGTAAGCCCCAATCGGCTCAAATACAGGTAAGGAGAATGGGCGGGTGGGCCCTCCGGAGCACTGGACCGGAACGGTACCTGGTGCTCCCAGGAGGCACCAGTACGCCCGTACCGGGGCGTACCAGTCGTATCCCACCACTGCCTTGAATTGATTAGGATGTAAACAGAGGTGGGTTCCTACCGGTTTGGTCCGGTTCGGCCAAGTAGGTAGTAACTCGGCCCATCCACACCCCTGAACTGGTTCATCTTGTTTTTTTGCTTCTGCCCATGCGCAGAAGCATTTTCTACCTACTGCGCATGCGTGTGCATGCCCGAAGCACATGCAGGCCCGAAGCGCACGTTCCTGAGAGAACCGGCAGTAGAAGAAGCCGGAACACACCCCTGGATGTAAGAGTTTATTCAACATTTATTCAAATCAGTGTTTCTTGATCTCAGCAACCTTAAGATGTAAAGATTTCAACTCCACGAATCGGAGAAGAATTCTGAGGGATTCTGGGAGTTAAAGTCCACACATCTTAAAGTTGCTGAGGTCAAGAAACACTGACCTAGAGGAACGGACCCTCCCACAGTATGGCAACAGCTCTACTAGGGCTGAGCCACCCAAATTGTGGCTCTACCTTTCCAATTCTTGTTCAGCCATGGTTACCTGTGGAGGCCGCAACCGCTCCTATCAATACAGAAGGGATAGCCATGATGAAGCAGCCCAGTCCAGAGAAATAGGAAATTAATCTGGCTTCTTTGTGGGAGGAAGCTGCGAGAACTCGCTGGAAATAGGTTTGCCATGGGATGGACCCAAGCACCTGGAAGGAAAGGAGAATCTTGAACTGAAATAAAAACAAGATATGACGGTATTCCTGATCATAGTCAAAAAGTCAAAACTTAAATTTAAACCAGGTTGCCTTTAACCTAACAATGGGGATGACTTTGGAAAGTTTATTTAACATAAGCCACTCTTGGAGCATCTCCATAGCTTTCTCTCTGGATCATTCTAGAATTTCTGGGCTCCCTTTGCCTTTCTTAAACTAAAGAAATAGCATTCCAACATCTGCCACCTTAGGATATCATCCCAGTCTGATGTGCATTATGTCAGACCTGACATCATTGCATTTCATCTTATAATTTAGACTTCCGGGTTGCCCGTTGGGCAGTGGTGGGTTTCAAAAATTTTAGAACCTCTTCTGTAGGTGTGGCCTGCTTTGTGGGAATGACTTGCCAGCCATGTGACCGGGTAGGAGTGGCTTGCCAGCCATGTGACCGGGTGGAAGTGGCTTACCAGCCATGTGACCGGGTGGA